CTGGAGTAAATCGACTCTGTGATGATTAGCGGATTGCAGTCCCATGATTAGTTTATTGCTTTGCGTGAATCGTACGAGCAGAGGGATTGAATCCCATCACACCTTTTGATTGCTGCATTCTTTCTTTGAGTTGGTTTTGGTCTTCAGCAAATCTCTTTAAAAATACTTATAATTTACAACAAAGCTGCTCTTTGTTCACCACACACCGTCATCTTCTCGAACGAACTGTCCATCACCAGTCACTCTCCCTCACAATCGACAACCAGATCACACTAATTCCCAATTACCGCATTGGCATTTTCGGGCGACTGTACCAGCCGCGGGTACCCGCAATGTGCATCGTAAACCGCCGTCACCTGGAACAACCCTTCTTGTCTTGTCCGTATTACATACTAGCAAAAAGGAGAGCGAAAGTTAGCGAAAATAGACAAAGTGGAACCAAAGCGACGTACAGATGGTTCGTCAATGTTTGTGATCGTGAAAGCTTCTTCTCCAACAATGTCCCCGGTGATGGGGTTCAACGTGGACCGTGAATACGTAAAGCTGAACGGTGCTTCTCCCTCAAACTCTATCGTGATGATCGACTCTTCACCTGAACAAAATGCAAACATATTATCTCGGCCCATCTTTTTACATCAGTAGTCTCCCAACCTTCTCGAATGTCTTCGGCAAGGTCCTCGCCGCCGTCCACGATAGCCCTTGGTAACGGGTGCACCACAACCCCCAATGCATCCGCCTCGGGCTTCCTCAAATCCAACACGCATCCGACGCCGTTCCACACCCTCCGTACTCTTAATAGCCCCGGCTTGCCCGCGTAGAGCGTCAGCACCGGATCCATCACGCTCACGTCCGCAAACTTGCCCTCAAACTCGTACTCGAGCCTGAACGTCGGCGTCCCCTGCAACGTGAACGTCAGCAGATCGCCTACACACACGTTCCGCGCTGAGAGTGAGGTCACGCGGGGGGTGTCGGCCACCACTAGCTCGACACGCGTCTCAGGCGTGTCGCTTGCGATGCTCGAGCGGCATCCGGTCGAGTCGACCAGGGAGACGAGCTGGAGGATGTAGCTACCCGTCGCGGAGAGCAGTGGTGGCTTGAAGGTGTGGGAGGTTTCTGTGATGTTGCGAACGACGATGGACTGTGGCTCTTTGCCGTCGTGTTGGAGCTGGACCACGAGCTCGAAGGGGGATTTGCCTGTGAACTCGATCTGGATGCCCTGGCTCGGATCCTTGGTGTGACCACTGCCGACTGGCATGTAAGAACTCGACTGCGAATCGACGTTGAGACACTGAACGAATCCTGAAGTTCCGTTGGTGAATCGTGCCGTGGGTCGGACGAGCACGTTGTGAGTCACCACCGCTACATCGCCCTTCCAGCTCGCTGTAGGGTAATTCACATCTTCAAGAGCTTGGAATCTGTACACATGCTTCCCAGACTCTGAGGTGTCCAATCCGACACGGTAGCTGTGCTGCTCGATTCGCTTCTCGACTTCTGCGCGATGGGCCCGCAATTTGTTGGATCTAGAGGGGAGCTCATGAGTATAGCGCATCTGGAATGGTGCGCTGCCCGAGAGCCGCACAGTGAACGCCTTGTCCATATCTTTCGCGCATGTTTCTGGCACAACATATCGGTTGCCGTCCACTTGTGTTGCACCAAGAACGCTCAGTGTAGGGCGGGGAATCGTCACGGCTAGCAATTATTCCGTTAGGCTTACTAAAAGAGAACTACAGTGGCATAGCGTACCTTGGCACTCAATCGCTGGAAGTACCAATCCCTTGCAGTACGAGTCCGATGTGCCCGTCAATCGATAGGTTCCAGGGAAATCAACGTCAAGCCATTCCTTCTTCTTGGTAGCTCCGCGCTTGGTCGAGTATTGACCCTCAATGCCTGTATCCACGTGGACGTAGCTGATATTGAATGGCGGACTGCATGAAGCCATCAGTTTGAAAAAGTACACGCTTGAACAATTGCATGCACACGTACATCCCAAAGACTGCAAGCTCAAGTTGCGCCGAACTGCCTTCCAAGAAAGCGACGGGTCGAGGGCACTTGAAAGACACCGTCGGTCGTTGAGCTTGCACCTCAATCCGTACGTCCTGTGTGCCCTCGCGGAATGTCCCAGGACATCCATCCGCGCTCAAAATATCTGTTGGCAGACATGAATCATGTTAAAGGGCTGCCCAACATCACTATCAATGTCGCTTACCGATAAATGAAAGCATGTACGTTCCAGAGGCGTGCAATGCAGCTGTACTGATACGCGCGCCTCCCTCGTTCACCTCCACATCTCTACTCCACAATCTTTTGGTGTTGTGATAGAGCTCGTAGCTTACTTTCCACGGTCCAGCACCACCGCTCGCCAGTACGGTTACTTCCGCGTTATCGCCCAGGCAGCGGATCATCGCTAGCCCCTGCGTCGAAATAGAGGGCTGATCCAACAGGATCGATGCACGAGGACGCGGGTGTACAGTTTGGGTGAAACGAGTGTTTTTGATCGGAACACCTTTGATATACTTCATATCCAAGATCTAAGAAATTTGCAGTTTAGTATTACAGATGTACAAGCTGCGCAGAACAAGCAGCTTACCGAGGTGAACTCCCACACGTAAGTTCCAGGCTCGTCAGGCTCAAACGGAATCACATGCTTGGTTTTCATGATTCTTGCTTTCTTCTGTGTCCTCTCTCCGCTATCTTTCATCTCCTCATACTCAACGATAAACGGCGGGCTCCCAGTTAATGAGATGTTCACAACAGCCCCGACCGCGCCAACGCAAGCGGCTCCGACCCCGCCGCCACGAATGGGTTCAGCTGATACCTCGATTGTGGGTGGGAGGACCTTGTTCACTGTGCAAAACCGCGCGTTTTCCTCGACTTCTCCACTACACCGCGCGTCGGCGACTGACAGTAAAGCGTATGTGCCGGGTTCCGATGCTTCAATGTCCGGATCACGTCGGTTCAACCCGTCGAGTCGAGACAGACGCTGCCATTGTCCCGATGGAACGTCGTCGACAGACGCCGCGATGCCTATAGTTATGTTGAAAACAGGCTGGCCGTTGAGGTGGATGGGGAGGACTGGGTGTCGCTGCGTGTATGGATCGTTCGGTTGCGGGACGAGGATCGAGAGGTCTGTGCAGTCCTCAAATTGAGCTCGGGGGCGTGGGTGCACTGTGATCTTGAAGGGTTCGTCTGGACCCACTGCCTCGCCAAACTCGTCGAATGTCGGTTGTGCACGAGCGCGCGCGCTCTTGTCGGATTGGCAAGTTGCGGATGTTATGCATCGAGGTTGAGGGATCGTGTTTCGGATGCCGTCGGTGACGTTGACGAAGCGGAAGACTACATTTCCCGGCGCATCGAGTTTCACGTCGATTTTATGGATGAATTTGCTTGGTCGAAGGTCCGCGATTCGGCGGGCGACTTCGAGAGCAGCTTGCTCCATCTCCTGATCGTTGAGCTGAGACTCTGACAGTACATTCCCCCCCGACACTGTTCCGTCTTCGGCATCCAGCGAAACCTCCACAAACTCCAAAGAGCTCACGTCATTCAATGTGCGCGAATACCAGAATGTCAATGGAGGTGTACCGAATATCTCTGCTCCGACTTGGTACATCTCATCGACGCACCGTTCATCTGATTTAAGCCCAATCTCTCCTCCCTGCCCAATCCAGTTCGCCTTTGGACACTCTACCACCTCGACAGTGTTCCCATCAAAGCTTCCCGGCTCGCCCGAAGCATCTCGGAACCCAACGATCCGCACCAAACCAATCGCACTAGTTTCCAAGCGTCCATGGAATCGCATGATCGGAATGTTCGGCCCAATACCTGCTTCTGCAACTGCCTTATCGAGGGCAATACGACTTCCGTCACCAGCAGCAATATCTGCAACAGTGTAATCCTGTAGCGTCACGTTATTGAATCGCTGCACTTTCCCATCAAACCCGAGGGTCTCGACATCAACAAAGCATGGTGGAATAGCTTTGTAGATATCGACAGGGACAAATGTGCGCGTTTCAGAGTCTGCGCGGCAAGAAGGGACTCTGCGAAGACGCGCGAGGGCTTTGGGAAGAACGTTGACCCTGTGAGATCCGACAATGTGAGGATCGTCATCACCGATGGAGATGGTGCCAGCTCCGCCAGCTCCAACGATCCCGGAGAGCGGGCCACCAACTGGAATTGCACCGAATCCCCCGCCTTCATCGGTCACTGTAGGAACTCGGCCCCGTCCAGATCCCGGAACGCCCTGTGGGAGCCCAGATCGTTGATACTCATTCGGGGCTGAGTCTAAATAGAGATGAAATGTGGGATTTTTAGCAATGCTTACCGCAGCGAAGAGTGCGTAATTGATAGACCAGCTGACAGTCGTTATAAACAGCGCAGTAGCAGCCGACATCTCAAATCGAGGGACCTGGGCGCTCCACAGTACCGCAAAGAAAACCAAATCAATGAAGCAAAAGACTCCGACCAGCCAGTAAGCGGACACGCCCAGCGGTGTTGCACCGAAAAATATTGGTCTTAAAGCAGGCTGCTGGCTTTGCTGATTCTGCCATGCTAGCGAGGGCTGTTTTGCAGGGAAACCTGTGGATGGAGCAGCGACTGGGGCAGAGAACACGAGAGATCTGAGTGAAGCGTAGAGCGAGAAACCTGTGGAGAGCAGCAGTTTCCAGGCGAATTCGATGGCGAAGAACACAGCAGCGATGTAGCGCTGGGTCGGCGGGTCCAGCAGCAAAACTGCCATCTATCCTTCCGTCCCAAACGATTCCAAAAGTCGCGTTGAGAAAGTCGCGTTAGCCACAGGAAAAGGGCCACAGACAGAAATAGACATGCTATTAATCCATAGATACATGCCCAAAAAACACAGGAAGTACCAATGATTAATGTTATTTAATTTGCAGATAATAGGCAAAAAAACAACACTAAATTTCCTTTTCAAGATGGTTGTGGAATAGAAATTAGGAAAACTTAAATAACATTTTATTAGTCTGTTAAACTTCGATTTTTTTAGATCCCGCGTGGCGCAATTGGCTAGCGCGTTTGGCTGTTAACGGTCGCAAGTTCGATTCTGAGTATCAACAATAATCCTGTTGTTATCCTCAGCCGAACTTTTTCTTTTTGAAAGTAAAAACAAAGAAGGAAAACTTTTATGAACGAAACAACAGGAGGTTGGAAGTTCGAGCCTTCCCGCGGGAGACTCTACCTCTTTTTTACCCTATTTATAAATCTCTATTCCTTTTGCAAGACTCGCCTTACATTGCTGATAGTCAATGGATGGAGTGAATACAATTATTTACTTTCAGAAATCCCAATATCACTTTGATTTTGACAGAACACCTTGGTGACATATTGCGATATTGGCTATTGTATCTTTATGATACGTCAGCAGCTAACCAATAGAGCTGTCCGTCCAGGGTCCTCCAACCGTACGCTCCGTTCATCATCTGCATTATTCCACGCCAATCCACCCATCACTTCATCACACCGATCACAGTGCGATCCACCAACCATTGAATTGGATTGCACTCCGCATATATTGTGCATATTCCTCTGGATGATTTAACAACTCCCCACCCCTTGGTCAACATCTTTCCCCTAGATTGAGGCGGCTTTGAATTAAGTTTGTTCATATGTTGACAGAATTAAGAAGACTTCGACGTGGGCAATGATGAATGTTCTGGTGAATTGGAGTTGTGGGAGAAGGGTATACTCCATTACTTTGTGGTTGAGTAGAGTCGATCCTGAGACTCATACACACTATTCAACCATCGAGCGTACTTTTAAAACAGATACGATTTGATTACTAAACTACTGTTCCCTCAGTAAAATATTACAAGTTTTGCTGTTGTTTTCTGACAGGAGCCTTCTGCTTTGCACCAGCATTCTCAACATCTTTGTACCCATTGTTCCATTGTTCTTGTCCATCCCCTGCATATGCCTGCTACCTTCCTTTTCCCTCCTTTTGTCTCTTGATCAGTCTGTGCCATTGCCAGCCTCCTTGCCGTTGGTGCGTTTAGATACAGCTGTAAAGAGGACAATGTTAGTGGCTGTGTGGAATCACAATGAAGAGGTTTTGTGAGTGCGGCGGCAACCATGACTTTGGTGGGGTACTCGAGGTGAAGAGTACCATCGGAGGAGGCCAAAGGATCTGTTGACATATTGGCATGAACGGTGTGAATTGTGCATATTCTTCGACCTGAGTTTCTTCCACAACCTGAGGATCTCGCTGCGTTTCGAGAATGACAGAGGGAGCATCTGCACGTGATGGTACTGCATGACCTATTTCAACTTCACTTTTGTCATCAATCGGATCTGGATCCACCTCTTTCTGATTTTCTTGATCGATCGTCAGGTACAACCTTTTTCACCCGACTTTCCCATGGAGCCCTTTGCTTCGTAGGCTCAGCAGCTTTTCCCTTAGAAGGCTTCTCACCGGTGCCTGCTCACCATCCAAACCATCTGCCCCATCAACTAGGCGTGGAACTTTCTTCCCAGCATCTTCTTTCTTTTTCTGAGTCTTCTCAGCTTCGGACGCTTCAACATGAGTGGGACCATCTGGGCAGACAAATTCGGTTGATAGAGACTCTGTTGCTGCCCGCCAACTTTCCTCCCCGTTTTTCCCAGCAGCTCGCTTCAGCCTACGAGCTGCAAGCTCACCATCTTATTCGCTCACCACAATTTCATCCTCTTCAAAAAAATGTGTCAAAATTGTATATTCGACAAATATTGAAATACATAAAGCACATCATCCAAATCTTTCTCCCACTGCTGTGCCCTCTCCACATTTTTGAGGTATCCAAGGACATTGTTCTGGCGGTCCAACTGTGATTGCTGCACTTCTCCCATCATTTCTGTCTCTGTTCTGTCCACAATGTAGATTCAAAAATGGTGTCAAAATTGTATGTTCGACAAATGTTCTTGAAATGCATAAGGCTCATCCTCCAAATCTTTCTCCAACTGCTTTGCCCACCCCATATTTTTAAGATATTGTTCTGGGGGTTCAACGTGATTGCACTTGATGTTGCCTCTGATGATTTTATTGGGTCACTAATGAAAATCAACATCAATAAGATGCAGTTTCATACCTGCAACACGTCTCTTTCGTTCTCGACATCTTCACAGTGTGTGGCTAGTTCGAAGAGTCATGCATCAGTGTGGTTGACAACCTCCAATGAAAACAATAAAATATGCCAAGCAGTAATAGAGATCATACCCAATGGGTGTTACGAACAGCCCAGCGTTCGTTGTATCCTGGAGTGATATAATACAGTCAGAGCAGACCATGCACACGTGCATGGACCAACCCACCAAGTGATACCGCATCCGCCTCTCCGTCTCGAAAAATACATTTTCTGGTGTCGCTCCGTCTCCAAAACAGAGGTTGAATCGGAGCATTTCGAGAGTTTATTTCTGCGTATCGCAATATCGAGACAGTTCTGCACTCACGCATCCCTAATGCTTGGTGGAGCTGATGGACCAGAGTATGTGAGTACGGTAAAATACGAAGCTCAGTTTCAGTGTCCTCGGACAGTATCTATGTATATTGCCATACGGGGATGGATTACGACAACGGCTTGGTCAGCTTCTCTAGATATTTTCCTCTATGCACTCCGGCCATGTTTAGGGCGGTGAAAAGATCTCCAAATTCACTCTCCTTCCATCTCCACACCCAGATCATACATTGTTGATCGATCGGTGTACTTTAGTTGAAGCCCCGAACTTTTCCACGAATCAAGAACATCTAGCTTGCCTTATTAAGTTGCGGATTTCATTGTTCGAGAACTGTATCTAGTTCGAGAACTATATCTAAATTCCCATCCGCTCTTAAGCCACCATTGCGAGGCTTCCACATGTCCGCCGCTCCACCATTCCAGTGCAGCGACTTGACCGAATAAGCTTGCATGTTTCATAGCGTCCTCCGTCCAGTCTTGCCTGTGTCCGTAAAGAATCCAACAGTTCCTAAGCCTTACCTCTCTATGCTCATGTTCACTCGAAAATCTAATCGTGGCATCCGCGCATGAGAACCTAACATCCCGGGTCGATGCACTGGGGTCTAGCATTTAATGCCCTCTACTTTCTCGCCAGAGTGGCGTCCTCGTAGCGGCGTTTGGTGCCTGCATTCATTGACATGAGTGTTCAAATTTACGAGGTTCACTGTATCATGTACAAGAGACTGACTACTTAATTGAAAAAGTGATGGCCTCAAAATGTCTGGCTCGTTTTCATCAAAACCGAATTTTGTATCACCTAACTGATGCGGGGATCAATGCACTTGCGACGTCGCTCTCATCAAATAATGGCAAAGGATCAGGAACCTTTTGATCCAGCTGAAGGTGGGCTGAATCAAGCGATGACCGGCAGCGTCGAGCTTGTAGAGAGCCATCGCACGAAACTTGGAGTGGGGTTGTCATCGCGGAGAGTATCGCAAATGCTGTCGGCACATTCCTGATACGCCGTTTTTGATAGAATTCTTCGCGGCTAGAACGAACACTTGCGATCTGCATGATGGACTGAATCTACAAAGCCGTCTGCGGCTGTCCGAAACGCTGGGTTGATATGGGCTTCAGAACTACACTTTCTACATGTCTGGGAAAGCTAAGGGAGTCGCATTTTTTATACCCGGCTCTCTTCATTCGTACATTCAAACATCCACGACATCTATCCCGAAACAAATCAAACCCCTAAGCTGAATGTGCGTCTCCCGACAAAAAAAAGGTGGCAAAAAAAGAACACGGAAGGTCACCTCAGCATCTTAACCTCCCTTGCTCCAGCACCAATACGACAGGCACCAGAGTATAAGAAATCAGAAAGTACTCAACAAAAAACTAAAAAACTGTTATCCCACAGTTTAAGAAAAGGAAGCCGCCACAAGAAAGGAAAGAAAAAAAACAACGACCTGCACTTTTCACCTCCGCAAAACCGCAGAATGTGCAATAACGGAAACCGCAGACATGTGCAAAACCAGAAACGAATGTGCTCAAACAAAAAAGAATCTTTGCATACACTCCCCAAAAAAGACTGCAATCTCCATTCAACATCAGCTTACTTCTTGATGACATCAAAGTCTTTCGGCGGGAACACAATGCCGTACATCACAGACAACGCCTCCATAATGACCGCGATGTACTGAATCACAAACGTCATCGGAATGTGAAGGATGATCAGCAGGGGGTTCTTGCCCTTGTCCACGTCCTGCACGAAGATACCCAGAATGTACAGGTACACAAAGGTGCAGAACGTAAGGTCCTTGCAGAGACCAAACCATCGCGGCGTGTCAAGCTTCACTAGGAAGCCGAGAGGAACAGAGGCGATCGTGCCGTACAGAGAAAAGATACCGAGAGTCCAAAAGAAGGCCCAAAGCTTGGGAAGGAAGTGGTGCAGACGCCAGATACCGACGAACCAGCGACGACGCTGCTTCAAAAAGTCCATGAATGCAAGGGGTGACTGCTCGCGGATGAATCCGGGCACCTTGCCGCAACGGAAACCCTGTGCCCACGCTGCCATGGCAAACTCGTAGTCCTCAGTAAGACCTAAAAAAAATAATCCGTAAGCACATCATTCGCCCAAGTTTGCTGGTCTTTTGCTGAACGTACTGCCAAGATCCCAGGTGACGGAGTTCTCGACCAAGCCGTTGTTCATAAGGAAAGAACCGTGGCAACCGAAGATCGGGCGGTGGATGTACGAGAACTGGATCTGGAAACGAGACAAGTCGTCACCGACACGGAGAGAGTCCGCAACAGTGAAGATCCAGTTCTTCCAGTACTGGTACTGGTTGTACAGAATCACACCCTGACCCATGTGGTAGTCGGTCTCGTACCAAATAAACTCGAGGCAACGCCTGACACTCTCGTCATCGATGACACTCTCTTCGTCCAAGTGCAACACCCAGTCGTGCTCAGTGTATCGCATCGTCTGGCGGTACCACTCGAGAGCACGAGCCTTGTACTTGGATCGTGCGGTGTTGAAAGACTTGGGGCAGGTGTAGCAGTTAATGTTCTCAAAGAAGAAGGGTTCATCAGTTAAAACGTGAACGCGCACCGACGGGTGGAGACGTTCAAGGTGCTTGTGGCCGTTCCATGCACGGTAGACAGCCTCACGGTTGTTACCACGGGTGACGGTAAGAATGTACAAGTTGTCGCAACGACGCTTCTTCAGGTCGTCGTGGTAAAGGAACTTTGGTGTGCGGAAGGGGAGCG